GAAATGGCAGGTGGCAATAAGAAAACTGGGATAATAATTAGGGTTTCGTGTTTCACTGTCAAAATCTTCAGTCTGGATGTTCCTCAAAACGTAATTATTGTGCAGCCAATAACTGACCTTCCACCCTGTATGTTCCTATCCATTTTTCACTGGCTCCTATTCTCTTATTTCATATTGTTTCTTCCCTTCTTTCATGTAAACATACTTTGAAATGGCTATTTCCCCTCTAAATATTTAAATAACTGGTGGCATTACCCAAAGTCCCTGAGTCTCTCCATTATTACATTATATGTAATAAGAAATGGAGGATTATCAACCACCACAATTAGAAATGGAAAGGAGACTGACTGACGATAAAAATGTAGCTTTTCTGTTAAAACCAAGGATAGAGGTTCCTAGGAAACTCAGAAGAAATAAAACTTAGGGAATCGGGAAGGCAAAGGAGCAAGGTACTCCTTGGAGCATGACACAGAGGAACATTCAGGACACTTTTTAAGGCTTATTCTACAAAGAGCTTCAGGATTGTCCGTCTGATGACATGCCAACACTCTCGCTAGTTCCTTGGTCTCCGCCCTGACAGGACAGGGTGGAAGAGATCCCCAGGCCAGCACAGTCAAGAGTCTGCAACAGCTGCTCAGTCAAGGCTGAAATACCAACAGCCCGTGGTCCTGAGCTTTCTGACCTCGGACCCCATCTGGGGAAAACCCAGGAGAGCCGGGAGACATCCAGCAACGCTTCTCTTACCAGGGAGTTCTAGTCACTTCAGATAACTCACATCTCCATTATATCCCAGGGTCGTCTTGGGGTCTTTAAAGAGTACAAGAGCCAATTTGCTTCCTCAAAGGTTCTTTAAGAGTCCAAGACTAGTTTAAAACCAAACTCTCCACAGTACCTCCACATTTGCAGCATCGAAGATCCAAACCAAATATAAGACAGCAAAACACAGCGAGAGGGACAGGCCCAGGGGAGCCTGTTGTTAACAAGGTAAAAGGCAAGGAAACTACGGGGGTAACCAAGGTTCATTTTCAGGTGCCTACACAATGTTAACACTGACTTTATGAAACAAATGCCTCTTGCGGAGGATTCTGATGGCTACCCTTTGGAACCAACTAGTCTTTGGAAAAAAAGAAAGTCATAAATGACAGGGGTTAAAAAATCTCACGACAAAGGGAGGAAATGTTCAAGGTCAAGGTCTCAGATGGTTCATTTAAAAAAATATGTTTTTGTTTTAGAGAGAGGGGAAGGGAGAGGGAGAGACAGAAACATCGATTGGCTGCCTCTTGCATGCCCCCTACTGGGGAATGAGCTAGAAACCCAGGCATGTGCCCTGAATGGGAATTGAACCCGTGACACCTCTTGCTACACGGGTTGATGCTCAACCACTGTGCCACACCGGCCGGGCTCAGATGGTTCATTTCAAAGGGCAAGAGAATGTGTGTGTTTAGGCTAAATAGAGATGGGGGCAGGGGTCTCGTCTAATGACACTAATCACACTTGACCCTAGGAGTTGTAAAACATCTTAGGTTCAAATACTGAGGAAGGGATGGAGTCCCTTTCTAGTCCAGTTTGAGCTAGGTAAAGAATACAATAGGACTAAATAAAAAGTTATAATTACTCACACTAGATGGGCTAAAGTAATAAGGTCAATATGTAATAATAAAAGCCTCAGTTCAATCCAGGTAACATTAGTGTTTTACCTCATAAACTAATGTACAGGTATATAATTTTTTAAGTTGGGGTGGGGGTGGAAGAAGAAAGGGGTTACCCGGAACCTGTGAGATGATACCATTTTTGTGTTTAACTGTACACATATGTCTGTCTGTCTGTGTGTCATGCATATAATCACATTTTCCCCAACATTCAAGTTAATATTCCACCCAATAATTAATTTCAGCAGGGAACCAAGAGATAGCTATCGAGAGAGAGAGAGAGAGAAAGAGAGAGAGAGAGAGAGACTAAAAGAAAAACAGAGGGAGAAAGGGAAGGGAAGGGAAGGGAAGGGAAGGGAAGGGAAGGGAAGGGA